TGTTTTTTTCACATAACTCTAGTATCTTACGTCTGGTTGTAAAGAACTTTGCTATTTTACAAAGATAAATAAAACACCTAGAAGTTAAGCGCAAACACTTTGTAATTTCAGCTTACCGTCTGGGAAATATAAAGCATTGCAATGCAAAAATGATGATTTTTGTGCGGTATTTTTTTTTGAAATTTTGACTTTAAAAACTCAGAAAAAGTCGAAAAAAATGTCCTATATTTTTTTGTGTATAGCTGCATTAATTTGGCGTCGTTTAAGATATCGCTCATTAAAATCTATGGAGAAACTTTGGAGCTAAAATTCGTTAACCAAACCTAAAAAATGAAACAATTTAACAAAAAAATACCTTTTGGAAGGTGGCGGGCCCAACTGCTAATTGGGAACAAAGCAAACGAAAATGGGTTGTACATTTGGTACCTGATCGCGTTCCTTTGGTATGAAATGTTGTTGACAGTTACTTTTTTCGTTATCTGAGGTAGGATACCTATTCAGGTCAAATGTTTCCTTCATATTCTCACAAGTGGAGGTCCACACAAATTGGATCTCGTCGCGTCTACCTAATCATATTTCAATAAAACCAAAGTAGAAATACCTGAGATATGGGATTTCATTCCTTAACCCATACAACAATCAGTAATTTTTAGTCTTTTCAGTCAATTCTAAGGATATACAAACTTTTTTATTTGGTGTTAGGTTGCTACAAGTGGGCTTTTAGTGCCATATTTGCCCCGATTTTTTAGAATTCTTAAAAAACAAGCGCTACCTCTGAAAAAAGCTTTAAAAAAAAACAACAGACTTCAAAAATTCTTCAAAAAAGAAAAAAAAAACCATAATTCTTTAAAAAAATGTAAAGCCCCATACCTATCAGAAAAAGTCGGTTTGGATCCGTGAGGACATCTGGTCGGACAATGCCCGGAGAGAAAGAGCGTAACATATAACAATTATGTAAGATACTTTAAGATTTTCTTTTGCAACAATGTCGTAACATCATTAATTTCAGCGTGCCTCATAGACTCTGGCAGCCCCATATCGTTCATCAAGAAAAGTTTAATTACTAGAGAAATGAGTTTGGAACCAGTTTTGGAATTATATTTTGGGCTAAATAAAAGCCAATTGAAAACATTTGGAAAAATTTTATGTTATGTTTTGAAAGGAAGAATAAAATGTTATTTTTATTTGAACGTTGTGTCGAACGAGTCTATGAGTCATGGTGTGGTTCTTGGAAGAAATTTTATAAATGCATGCGAGTTAAACTTGGACTTAAGTACTTTAAACATGGTTACATTAGACGCTATGAATTCGAAAGCCAGTGATTATTTAAGTACAAATTCAACAATGCCGATCGAAAATGATAAAATACAAATTAAAACGGTTGAAAAACATACTAGTATAATGAGTAGTGCAAATATTAGAGAAAGTTTCGATAAAATAGTTAGAGATGAGGTAATTAAAATAGACAATAATAATGAAATTGTTAGTGATAACGTTAGTGAAGAAGTTAATGAAATTGTTAGTGATACCGTTAGTGAAGAAGTTAATGAAATTGTCACTGTTAGTGAGGAAGCTAGTGAAATTGTTAGTGATAATATTAGTAAAGAGATAAACAAAATTGTTAATGAAACCATGAGTAACGTTGTAGGAGTAACTAATGAAGTAATTGATGAAGATTTTTTAAGCGATTCTACCAGATCAAAAAATTTTAAAAAGAAAACAGTTAGTTCGATAAATAACGATGAGATGGTTATGAATGAAATCCTTAGCAGCAAAGCTAATGACACATACAATGAAAGTATCGTTCCAAAAATTTTTAATATCAATTATATGGAAGATGAAAAAGCTGATTACATCTGCGGGGAGAATATAAGTCATAGGCTTAAATGTCAACTAAGACAAACAATCGAAGACTATTACGTAAAGACGGTTAAACCAAATGAACTATGAATGAAATATCAAATGCGAGATAAAACTCAACTTAGAGAAATCAAAAACTTTTAGTTGTGCTCCAAGGCGACTGTCATACACCGAGAAAGATAAATTGCAGCAATTACTAGATGAATATTTAAGAAAATGAATAATACGACCTAGCGATTCTGAATACGCTTCACCTATCGTACTTGTTAAAAAGATAACGGGGGATTTAAGGTTATGTATAGATTTTAGAAAACTCAACAAGACTTTGATTAAGGACAACTATCCCATACCCCTCATCGATGATCTGCTGGACAAATTATCCAACAAAAAGGTCTTTACGAAACTCGATCTCAAAAATGGTTATTTTCATGTATTCGTTAATGAGGAATCGATTAGGTATACATCGTTCGTGACACCTTTAGGACAATTTGAATTCCTTAGAATGCCACAGGGCCTCAAAACAGCATCAGCAGTGTTTCAAAGGCTTGTTAATAAAATATTCGATGATTTAATTAGGGATGACAAAGTTATTGTATATATGGATGACATCATAGCCAGCAAAGATACACAAGAACACTTAGAAACGCTGAAAGAAGTTTTTACTAGATTAGCTCAAAACAAATTAGAATTGCGTATAGACAAATGTGAGTTTTTACAATCTAATATCAAATATTTGGGGCTTACAATCAACGGACAAGGTATAAAAGCAGACGAGAAAGGATTAGAACCAATCAAAAACTTTCCAATCCCAGATAAGGTAAAGGTTGTGCAAAGTTTTCTTGGCTTATGCTCCTATTTCAGGAGATTTATAAAAGATTTCTCAACTGTTGCCAAACCTCTTTACGATCTTCTGAGAAAAGATACAGAGTTCAAATTTGGTGGAAACGAATTAAGTTGCTTTTTATCGCTTAAGGAAATGCTAATGCAAGCACCTATTTTAGCACTTTATAATCACAAAGACGAGATAGAACTGATTTGTGATGCAAGTGCTCTTGGTTTCGGGGCAGTGCTACTTCAGAAGAAGGACGACGGAAAACTGCATCCAGTCTTTTATTTTTCTAAGCGTACAACTGCAGCGGAATCAAAATATCACAGCTTTGAGCTGGAGACAATGGCAGGTTTCGCATATATTTATATGGAAAACGGTTCAAGATCGTTACTGACTGTAATTCACTAACGCTAACGCTCAACAAAATTGCGCTAAACCCGCGTATTGCTAGATGGGCTTTAGGATTGCAAAGTTATGACTATGAGTTTAGCAATAGATAAGGCAACAGGATGCAGCACGTAGATGCGCTAAGTAGATGCACAAACATTCTCATTGTAGAAACAAACACGTTTGAAGACAACTTAGTTAGTTGCCAAGCCAAGGACCAAATAGTTAGAAATATCAAGCAACAGTTAGAAGAAAATGAACACAAGCTTTTCGAAATGAGAAATGGTGTAGTTTATAGGAAAAGTAATGACGGAAGATTGTTATTCTATGTTCCAAGCGAAATGGAAGACCACGTGTTATACAAATAGGACACATAGGCAGAGACAAAATGATGAACATAATAGGCAAAAGCTATTGGCTTCCAAACGTAAAAGAAAAATGCTCCGGTCATATTGAAAATTGTTTGAAATGCGTAGCGTTTCAAAGAAGGAAAAGAAGGATTTTTGCACTCCATTCCAAAAGGAAATAAGCCAGTTGATTCAGGAAGATCAAAGAAGCACATATTAGTAGTCATTGACGCCTTTACAAAGTTTGTGCGCTTATATGCAACAAAAACAACGAATACACGGGAGGTCATCGTTTCGTTAAAAGACTATTTTAGAGCATACAGCAAACCCAAATGCATAATTTCAGATCGAGGAAGTTGTTTCACATCAAACGAGTTCGATGAGTTCATGACAGAGACTGACATTAAACATATTAAAATCGCAACAGGATCGCCCCAAGCAAATGGTCAGGTGGAAAGAGTCAACAGAAGCAATGGACCAATGTTAGCGAAACTAGTAGAACCAGAAAAAGGTATACACTGGGATGTAGTGATAGACAAAGTAGAACATGCATTAAATAACACGCAGCATCGGAGCACAAAACAAGTTCCGTGTAAACTATTATTTGGCATAGAACAGAGAGGAACAGTAGTAGACGAATTAAAGGAAAAGCTAGAACAGTTAAATGAAGCACAAGAAAGCGAAGCGAATTAAGAGAGGAAGCGGCGAAAAATATGGAGACAGCCCAAGCGTACAACAAAAAGCAACACGACAAGGGCTTAAAGAAACCGAAAGAATATAAAGAAGGAGACTATGTGATGGTAAAACATTTTGATTGCATAGTAGGATCATCTAAAAAATTAATTCCCAAAAACAAAGGGCCTTACGTAATCGAAAAAGTATAAAGAAATGATAGGTTTTTGTTAAAAGACGTAGAAGGTTTTCAAGTTTCCCGTAATCCTTATCAGGGTGTTTGGAGTATTCAAAACATAAAACACTGGATAGGCAACAAAAATAAATGTTAATATATATAAAAAAAAAAAAAAAAAAAAAAAAACTATAATATCTTAAGTAAAAGACAGAACTGAAAACCATTGTAAAATTCCCGTAGATCTAAGTGAATCAGGTGATCCAACTGTCAGGATCGCCGAGTTGTGGTAGGATAACCCCTATCAGACCCTATGTAGATTAACCCACTGCCAATACGGCAGCCCTATCACATGTAAATAACCCCTAGATATAAGGTCACACTGTAGAAATACCGAATGTACGGTCTCATATAGAAAATTGCATAGATCGACGCAAGGGCAATCGAAAAGAGACATAGAAAGTGGAAAGACGTATCGGTTGGAATAAAGTTAAAGAAAAAGTGTATACTCGTGTTTTACTTCCACAATATTTAAATTGAATATTATTTTGACTTGATTTCAAAATTTTTCTTTTAAAATCAAATGGAAAACCTTTTTATTTTAAATATTCCATATTAAATGATATTAAATATTTTTTGTATTTATTTTAACTATTTTTATATTATTTTTTATGTCCCTCGAATTCCCAACTGGTTCAAGCTGCTGCCGCCTTGAATACACAGTTAAATTATTTTTGCGCAGGGGCATAATCACAACCAATGCAGTTCAACTCATGTTGCGATTATTTCTAATTGAAAACTTTAACCAATTCACACCATGAGGACATGAAAAGTAGTCCATGTAGGCAAAATATTAACAAATTATTTTTAAAATGAAATATACTTAATCAATATGAAACATATTAAATTTAAGCATAAAATAATTTTAAATTAAATATGAAACATATTAACTTTAAATATTAAATATATTAAATTTAAATATGAAACATATTAACGCTAAATATGAAACATATTAAATTTAAATATGAAATATATTCAACTTAAATATAAAATATATTAAATTTAAATATTTTCATATTAATATCAAAATGTAAGTGAAAAATATTAAATTTATTATTAATTAATTTATTATTAAATACAACCACTGGCTGAAAATCAATGTCATAAATATTAAAATCTTAGTGAAAATATCAAAATTTCAGGTGTTTTTTCCATCGGTGTATATATATAGTAACACTTCCATAATTCCCTACACGCATACACGCGTTACGCATACGTTAAGCACTTGACATATCCATAATCACACCCACACCTATATTTATATTAGAGATCGACGTAGCTCCATTCAAAAAAAAAATTTCAATAGAATCCATTCGAATTGAATTGAGTTGAGTGAGTGACACACACTTTTCAACATTCGGTTGTATGAGTTAAAATGAAAGAGTGCACAAAACGAAATGACAGAAATGACAGAGACAGAGCAATTCGAATAGCTCGAATTTTTTCCGTGCACTCTATGACAGTAAACAAATTATGACCTCTTTTTCAATAGACATTGTGTAAGAAGCGTCTGAAAAGCCTGCGACGGAAGATGAATTTTCTGAATATATTGAAGTACGCCAAGTAGACAGCTAAAAATACCAAGCAGAACAGGAAATAATAACATAAAGCAACATTAAAGTAATATACACACTACACTACTACATGTTTTTATTTTTATTTTTTATTTTTTAGAGATTGCTACCGAATTTTACAAAAAAATGTAATCATGAAAATTAAAAAAAAAATGTTTAATGAGTTGGATAAATGGTTAAATCTATTGCACATATATTGATACCATTCATATCGTCATTAATCAATTATTGGTAGTAAGAAACCTGCAAAAGTTTTTGCGAACTAGTTAACTAAATATATCAACCTCAGCTGAACTTCTTGATTTTCACCAATCGTTAATATTTTAACAGTAACTAAAAAAAATAAAAATAAAAACACCTTATTATCAATATGAACTAGTTTCTAATTTTTAATACTATTTGAAAAAACCGACGAATTGAATTTTTCTTTTAATGTATATTTACCCAAAAAAGTGAATTTTCTTTTCGTGGTAGCAACCCCCAAACATTAAACTAAAAATTTGACAAAAAATTGTATAATTATAATGAATATAATGAATGTCCACTTGAAAAAACACCCGACTTTGACTGTTTAACGTGGTGGAATTTTCACAAAAATGTTTTCCCCCATAAAACAAGCTACAAAATATTTTGCATACCAGCGAGTAGTGCGGCTTCTGAAAGAGCTTTTTCAGATGCCAGAAACTTAATCACCGAAAAGCTTTACCTATTTTCTTCCAATCCGGAAAATATAAACAAAATTATGTTTCTTCATTCCAATTTAGTTTAAATAAATACTGTACAAAAACTACATTGCTCTTTCTTATTTTCTTTATTATTTTCCCTACAAACAGTAAAGTAAAAAATAAAATAAATAATACCTTAAACGACGCTTTATTAATGCGTCTATCTAAAACCAAAAATGATGGCCAAGAATTATTTGTTTTCGACTTTTTCCGAGTTTTTAAAGCCTAGTACTCAGACGCACTAAATTTTCCGTCGACCGAAAGTGCTATTTATTTCGCTCGAGACCCAGTGTGACCAAAGTGGGAAAATTTCATGCTCTACGGTTACACTGTTGTTTTTTTTTACTTCTGGTACTATGTGCAAATTCAGAGAAAAGTTATTAAAAAAGTTAATAATAATGGACCCAAGGAGAAAATTATTACTAGTAGGATTGGCGGCGCTTGTAGGAGCGGAGGAAGAGGACAATCAAAGAAGAAAGCGGCGACAACATTGGGTTGCAGGATAGAAACCAGAAGGGTTGATTTTTTACCGATGTGAGAATTATGAATAACATAGATATGGATGCAAACAGATCTAACAATACCCTTTGGACATTTCTTAGTTTGAAAATATGACTCAGAGGCCATCAGTATTCTTTGAGAATTTTCATATGTCTGAAAAGAACTTCTGTGGCCTTTTTGGATTGGTGGAGCAGTACTTGCTCCCTACGACTTCTTGCCCATTTGGATCCCTCCTGCACTACCACTCTTGCTCTTGCTTGCCGACTTTATATGGTGTCCTTCAGAGATTTCCAAGCCAATTTGCAAATAGTCACTGGAAAACAAGTGCTACTATCAATAAATAAATAACTGACCTAAATTATATTTACCGTCCTTGTTTATTTCTCTAGCCACAGAATCCCAAGCATTTTTAGTTGCTATGGAGTCGAAATGTTTTTTATTGTCCAGGTCCCATATCACTGGCATTTTCTCTACCGACTTTATTAAAAGTATTTTGCACTCCTGTGAGAACTTGGCAACCCGCTGGTTTTTTAATACCTTTCCCTCCATATTTAAAGTCTGTGTGTGTTTTTGTGTCATGTCATTTGTCATTAGACGACGGAAAATGAAATATTTCAATGTTCCGATCGAGATGGGAAAATACCATCGGTTGCTTTTCTAGTATGTATCGAATGTAATTTTTTCGGAACTGAATACCGGTCTGCGAAATGCCTGCTGCGAAATTTTCGGTCGACCGAAAAACAGGGATGATTTCCTATCGGTTTCATACGAACATCATCCCTGATTTCGGTCGACGGAAAATTTAGCGCGTTTGAGTACTAGGCTTATAGCTGGCAATATCTAGGGAGGTTATATGTGTTAAGATCACGATTCTAAAAAAAATACCGCAAAAAATGATGAAATTTGAATTTGAAATCTTAATATCTTCCACGCGTTCATCTGCAGATACAAAGTGTCTAGGTCGGATTTATAGCTGCTTTTGTCAGATTTTCAGAACTGCAACTAGATATGAGATACTTAAGTTATGTGAAAAATAGAAGACCTTCTAAAAAATACTTAAAAAAAATACACCATAAAAAAAAAAAAATGACACCTAAAAAAATTTATAAATCCCGAAATCTATCAGAACGAGAAGGAACGTGTGAGTCACTTCTGGGGACGCAACTTATACCCGTACTAAGTCAGTATATACATTTTTAAGCTTATGATTTTTTAAAATTTTAGAATAAAAAAAAATTTACATTTTACATTTTATTGCTACATCTGCTATCTAGATCTACATCTACAATGTATATATTACATCTAACATGTAGATTATAGATGTACCATTTATATTCTACATCTCCTCCGCTAGGGGTTGCTCGCGCACTGAACGCGGCAGAGTGTGCGAGCGAGAAAGAGAATGAGTAGCGTTTCTCTTGCTGGAGAGGGCGGGGGAAGCAACTGAAAATTAATTTCTTCATTCTGGCTTTAATTATGATCCGATCTGATTCAGATTCGGCACTCTGGCAGATATGGTCATTCTCTACGATACTGTGGTTTTAGTTTTATAGTTTCTTTAAAAATGTGCCTGCCACAAATTTTCTTTTCGTTCTTTATGGAGGCGGAAGCGGGCGGGGCGATATTTTAAAATACACTTGTAGCAGTGTGATATCACATGAGTCTGGAAACCAAATTTGGTTGCCCTAGCTCTTATAGTCTCTGAGATCCAGGCGTCAAACAAGACGGACAGACGGTCGAACGGACAGACGGACAGACAGACATGGCTCTATCGACTCGGCTATTGATGCTGATCAAGAATATATACACTTTATGGGGTCGGAAACGTTTCCTTCTCTGCGTTGCACACACCCACTTGTACCAAAAATCTAATATACCCCTTAACTCTTTTTTGAGTACGGGTATAAAATGTCATTTTGGTTCACAGCCTAATTAAAAAGTTAAATTTTGTTGAGTAGTGTAATTTTTTACAATAAACCTACATAATGAACCTAAAAAAAATTTGTTTGTTACGTTTGTTTGTGAATTTGGTTATTTTGTGCTAAAGTGAAAAATGCCAGCAAGACGCAAGGGGGCCCAGTTGAACCGTCGAACAAATAATGCAACATTTGTGCGACATAGTAAAACAGAAAGAACAAGTCGAAGAAGGTAACGAAAATGTGCGTGAGGGCATATCGCACTTACGTGAATCTCAATCCCAATAGGTACGAAATGAACAAAGACAATTAGAACGAAGACGTGTGCGTCGTTACATAATTGACAATACCAAAGAAAATGACCGACAACGCCAACAAGAACGTAGAGCATTTGCGATTTATATTTAGAAATACCATGTTTTTCACACGGACAATTATACGTGGCATTTTCTCGCGTGGACAAACCATCGAGGTTATTTATTTTGGCTAAAGACAGAATGAAAAAAAAATATTATACACTCAATTGCTTTTAGAAGTTAAGATTGATAGCGCACATACAAACAAATGAGGGAAAAGATTTGACTCTGGATGATCCATATAGATTAGATTATGATAAATTGGAGATGATATAATTATGACACACAAACGGATATGATATGATTATGAATGAAAATAACTTTTTTAAATGGTTTAATTTTTGTTATGGATTATTTATGTATAAAGGTTTTTTTTTTTTAATTCCTATTTTTTATTTATTTATTTATTATTAGATTATTGTTATTGTTATTCCTCATTCACATTTAAAATTTATGTTCTTGTATTATTCAGACTGAGGATTACGATTGATTTACAATTTAGATTATAGAATACTGAATAGTCCACATATGACACATAAGTTTATGTATTAGGTTGGCTGGAATCAGACTGTGTGGCAGTACAGTATTAAAAGCTGCCATGACGTCTACACCTTTTAAACTGCAACAAGATTTACATTTCTTCCCTTTCCTGCTTAGATTTACATATTGATGCCAGGTGTCTGATTTCTAGGAGATTTGGCACTTTTAGTCCTTGTACTTGCAGTCCATTGATTTGTGGT